CTCTGAGGGGGATTACACGGCAATCACCAAGTTGATTCAATTATATCAGACCACCTCGAAAAGAGCACGGCACAACTTCGAAATAGAAAGAAAAATGGTGTGATACAACAACATTTGGGGGAATAGATTGTTTTTTTTTTGTAGTTTGAGAAAAAATTCAAAATGTGAAGAATAAGTAAATGTCAGAATAACATCAAACGTCCATGTTAATGTCAGGCATGAGAGAAACAGCCAAGGTGGGGTTCACACTGAAAGATAATCCACATTCTGACCATCCTAAAGACATGTTATGATGATCCTTAAGATGATCTTGTCAGCTGTTCCTGTGGAGCGAGGTGTTTTAAGAGTGACTTTGCTTCCTGTGGATTGTCACATGATGAACGAAATGATAGCCGATTGGGCAGCGAGCCGACCGAAGAAAGAATCACGACAATCGCAGCAAAATCGATTTTTACTCACCGCTCGCTCACTCTGTAACATGTTCATGTACATGCCGTCTCCACGACTTCGTCCGTTTACTTTTATCTTTGTGCACTTTCAGTGAAAAGTTGTCCAAAAATGGTAGCAAATTCTCCCTGCCGTCGTCGGGCCATGTTTGTTTAACAGGAGAGATTTAGTGAGATTTCCAGTTTTGAGAGTCTGGACTCTGTTTGTTGGTGAAGAAATCGGTGAGTGTGTCATGGTCTTATGTGTGCTCTCCCACACTATGGTTGGATCTCTGATTATTTGTTGTCATGTGTGACGTCTTTCATATTTAAAAAAATATATTTTTTGTTAACAGTGTCAAGTAATCGTTGCACCCCTAGTGTCTGAGAAAAGTCTAAAGCGATTACAGCTGCCAGAACATCTGTATTGCACCTTGGCATTGACGACTCTGAGCTCTACTGAGACGTGAACAGTGGTGGACTCGTGTCCAAAACTTCAGGTTTTACATTGAATTCCTTGAGTAAACCCTAAATGTGTGCGCAGACACTTCCTCTAGATCTCGGATGATTGATGCTTTATTGGCCATCAGACCTCCCTCCACCTCCTTCTCCACACACACACACACACACACACACACACACACACACACACACACACACACACACAAATATCAGCCATCCATCACTGTGTGCTGCCTGTGAACACAGCTGTGTGTCTCTCAGTCAAGTAGAAGTCAACAGAGCTGAGAGGGGGCTCTCCAAGAAGCGGTTGGGTCCTCCGTCTGTCCCTCACACCCTGAAAGGACCCAGAGGACACCCTCAACTTCACCCCCCCCCCCCCCCCCTTCTCCTCCACACACCACGATACCCAGCTTTGGTTATAACCTCATATTATCCCATCCACACACACAATCACACACTCGCCCACCATGACGCGAGCATGTGGTCTCAGGCCAGGTCTCAACCTTTCCCCCCCCAACCCCTCCTCTCAGCTCATAGATCACCGCTGACACATCAGTAATTGAGCTGGGATAGATAAGACCGAGTGGACTTGGCCCCGGGGTCCTGACACCGCTGAAACTCACCAGAGCAAACCATGAATGTGTGTGTGTGTGTGTGTTTCACCACATTACACCTGTTTGAACCTGGACTTTGATCTCAGTTAGGACTGCATGATGTTGGTCAAATTGATAATCAGGATTATTTTTATGAATATTGAAATCAGGTTTATTAATCAGGATTATTTTTTTTAATTAAAAGTACTCTTTTAGTGTTTATTGTTTATTTGAAAAAAAAAAAAAAAGTATCTTTCAACCCACTTCTTGACAGGGCTGGACTGGGACAAAAAAATCTGCTCTGGCGTTTTTGACCCACAGAGGCTGCTAACAATTGTTCAAACATAAGGCAGCAGCAGCCCCCAAAATACCCCCCACGGTTCCTCTGTCACAAGATATCAATACTGGTAAGGATCATCAAAGAAAAAGATCTAGTGTTCAGTATTCATCCTCATTTAAGAATTTATTGTATTTATGTTTCTTTGATCATAGTAAGTCCAAAATCGCCATCAAGGTTAAAACATTTTTTTAATGAATTGTGCTTTCTAAACTGAGCGGTGGTGAAATGGACACATCACGTCTTCAGTGGTGGTATTCATCCACGTCATCATATCTCTGCAATGAAGCCGATCAGAGTGGGACAGCTCAACCGTCATCACGCTGCACTTTCTGACACTCCGAGCCCAGATAGTTCTTCTTAGTATTTAAAACTCTTTCAATAATCAGACATTGAGAAGTAATGAATGGATTTACACTTGGATTTTGGCACCTGCTCTGTGATCAGTGCATGTTGTTAGTTTCAGTCACATTTCTTCATTTCATGTTCTCAAGTAGTGACGACGACTTTCATTTCAGTAACCCAATCACAAGTGAGTTTGTGAAATAGCCTCGTAAATTTAATTTCCACGCACTTCTACACGCTGACACCATTTCTCTCTCTTTTTTTTTTTTTGTTGTGAAAGTCTGCACAGTTTGAGATTTAATGACCGGTTGTCTTTGTCTGAAACAAGTCATGCCTTTCATGCACTAGAAGTCTCTGAAAACACTTTTAAAGTTCTGACACCCTGGATGACCATCTTCACCATTGGACTGTCTGAGAGCTGCAGTGCATTGTGGGGCTGTTTAGTATGACCATATACTACTGTTTCATACTAAAACATTCTGGCCGATCTAGTATTCATCCTGTATTACTCGCATACACAAAATTGCATACTATAATCTCTGATCACATACTCAGTGTGACGTCACATTTAGAATTAATAGTATGAAAGTTTGCAGTTTCAGACACAGCTTAAGACTACAACTATAATCATTTTGAGATAATTTCCCATCATGCACCCGGTGGAAATTTACAACTACAACTTTTGAACAGAAACCCAAAAGGAAGGATAAACCGATGGAGTCGTGGAGGGAACAAGAATGTCCTCCACTATGTGCCACGAGGAGACGGTCAGACTCGGCTGTCTCTAGATCTTGAAAGTCGTAACAAGGTTTCCGTGGGTGAAGCTGTATAGGGTCATTACAGGTGAGTGTATGCTATAGGTAGCTATTAGCTAGCTGTAGAACAAGGGATTTCAAGGTCCACATCAATTCCTGTCCACATTATTTCCATCTCCACTCTATCATGGTACAAAGACAGAAGTGCATGTCACAGGCCGCCGCTCTACTGGCCCCATCATTTGAGGATGATCGAGATAGTAAACTGTGTGATGCTTCAATTTCATGCACATGGGTTCAGCAAGTTGGATCCTCAAAGTTTTTGTTATTGTTTCAAACAAATTTGAATCATAGCTTTTAAAAGACGACTATTTGAATTTAGTTTTTGTTGCTGTCGGAAGGTCTGAATCAAACAAACAAAGTCAGAGATTCAACACTGAAATATCTCTAAACAATCTCTAACATGCATCCATTGACCCAGTTATTCTTATTAGTTGCTTCTATTCTGATCCAAACATGTAGTCGTGGCTGTATGGGCATGTTTTCCCATCAGACTCTGGGCTTCAAACGCTGCTCGGGCTAAAGGAGGATCCGTGTTTCAACAAGAGGAGAGGGAGAGCATGTTGTTAGCAGGACATACAAGCGTGATAAATTTGCGTTGGTCTTTTGTCACTGAATACGTCTGGGCCCATATGCTGGACTACAAAGCTACGTGAAAGCAGCATTTAAAAAGCCAGGCCTACCACATTAAAGCCTATAACAATCTGTGTTCATGGTAAGTTATCACTCTCAATTAATCACCTCCCACAATGGGATTTCTGATGTGTTCAAGCCCCCTGAAAGCTGCAGGTCAGGCCGAGGGCAGACTGACTCTCAGCTCCCCATTCTCCGTCCCCCTCAGTCTCTTTCACTCCATCACAGCTCTCCGCCGCTGCTGACTGAAGCGCCTTTACATTTTTGTCTTATTGGTCCGGGGCTCTGTGAAAGAATGACAGAGCGAAGCATCACGCACTCCAAAACAAACAGAGAGAGAGAGATAGATGTAGGTATGGAGATGTGGGCCTCTGTAGTCTGACGGACTGATGGACTGGGAGTCTTTCTGCTGCCTGATTCAAACCCCTCCCTGCTCATTCCACTGCGCCTGTGTTAGCCTATGAATGGTTTTGTATTGTTCGGGCTCTGCCCATTCCTCCACTGCTGAATGGGTTTAACCACTGGTTTAGATTCAGTTACACGGTTTTGGTTGAAATTGTCCCCCTCCTACCGCTTTGGACTCCATGGTTCCCTTGGCTGACCTGTTTAGAAGCTGCAGTGGAAATGTCATGTCGCCCCTCCCATGGGCCGGACCCGACATTCACTTTGATAGGTGACAAAAAATGACTTGGGAAGGGATTAAACCAATGGCTCTTTGTGCAGCCCGCTGAATTGTTAAGTCTATAACAGTGTGCTGATGGAGGACTTTGAAGTGGAGGATGCAGTCTTTCTTCAGCACGTAATGGACAGGCATTGGTGGAATGTTAAACAGTCACCACAACAGAAACACTTTCTGCAGAAGACAATCACCGCTGCACAAATCAAAACCTGACTTTAAGAATACACATGTAGATAAGAGAGAGAGAGAGAGAGAGAGAGAGAGAGTGGTTTTGATTTGACTGAAGGGCTCGGGAGTGAGTGGAGAGCTAATGCATTCACACAGACGTTGTTTGTTGTTTGCAGCAGAATGCACATTCACACATTCATTGCACTCGATGTTTTCAGCTCTGCTGGAGTGGAAAAACAATGTTAATCAAGCAGGAAGTTAAAGAAAACACACTCAGGGTGAAGGGGAGAGTGTGGGGCCTCAGCAGGAGCCTTCAGTGTTCATATGCATCAGGGTTCAAAAAGCAGTGACTGGTGATGAATGGGATCTGCTCTTGTAGACTCACATGTCAAACTCTCTGAGGATGAATGTGATGATGATGACGCCACAACACAGATGTATAGATTCATATTTACGATGAGAATGAAAGGGCGGAGGAATACGTGTGTGGTGCATCAAAGCAGTGCTACAACAATATGGCTTGCCAAATAAAAGACTTTAGCCTTTCACATTAACAGAATTTTAATGATCAAAACATGTATGCTACAAAAAACGTCTGTTACATTTCCTTTCTCTGACACACAGACAGTTTCTTCTGATCTTTAGTGCAGCTGAAGAGCTCGTCGCTCCACACATGAACAAAGGAAACAACAATAACTTTCAGTTTTATGTTTCTGCCTCAAGGCTGCCTGCAATGTTTGAAACATTCCTGGAGGAGATGAAGGTTGCATATCTTTATTTTGGGCGTTTAAAAAACACACAACAAACTCGACTGTTCATAAGCATAAGTGTGAACTTAGAGGTATTTTCCAGATCAAATTTTCAAGACTGACGACTTATGAGAAGCAGAAATTCAAATGCAGACCCTCAAACACAAAAAAAATATTCCTGAGTCTCTTTTTCCCATCAGTCCCCTGGTGTGTTGGAATAGGACAAGCCTATAATCAATTAGCTACTCCCTCTCCGTGTGGCTGTCAATTAGCCTGAGCAGTGATTGGGCTTATGAGTGCTTTATGAGCTGAGCCAGCTGCTTTCTGCATCACTTGACAGCCAGTAACCTAATAACTCCACTTTTACAAGACGTTGATTAGACTGATAAGGCCTGAAACAGCTCTCAGCGTGATATGATGTCGCCTCGATTAAAGAGCCCTCCTACAGGCTTTCATCAAATATCAAAACGTGCGTTAAACACGATAACATTTTCTGTCAGGCGGTGATGTCAGTGTGAACAATCCTGTGCAGAGAAGGTGGAGAAAGTACACAAGCTGAGGAGTTTTAATAACATTATCAAAGTGACAGAAATTAACACTTATTCTTCTAATGCAAACCAGATGATCAGCAACAAGACTGACACTATGACTTTTTTTTTATTTTACACCTTTTTCAGCATATCTTCACAATGAGTTATACGTTTAATTGTTTAAAACACAGCATGTTTGATTTTTGTCAGAAAACATTCTCAGTGTATGAACAGGAGAACAGGGACAAAGGAGGATGATCACTTTGTCCACAGAGGGCGCAAAGTTCAACTTTTCAAAGTTTGAGCTTTTAGTAACTGTGCAGATATTCAACAGACATCAGTCCTACTTCGAGGTGCGATATGTAGAATTGATGGTTGCTCACTGTGACACTGTGTTTTAGGGGTCGACGGGTCCAGAAGACCAACATCTGCCTGGTCGGACTAAAGGCGTGGTTATAATGTCTGACCTCGGCATCATAGAGCATCCGCCAATTACCACAACATAGAGGGTCTGAGACACATTTAATAAGGAGGTAATATTTGGTGGCATGTTGCCAATCAAGGCTTTATAAATAAATAAATGAAGCTTTCTAACGTTTAAATCAGCTGGACAGTCCAATGTGTTCACCTACAGGTATTATACGCAGATAGTGAGGAAACAAGCATGTTCTTCTCTCCACTCCTTTTCAGATTTGTACACCTTAATCATCAAGTGTTTTGTTTTGTTTTGTTTTGTGTGCATAAACACTGACACAACAGGTAATGCAGACAGTAACATGCATCAGAAAAAAAAACAATACTTTAACTAATAATAACCCTATCTTCTAACTTCTGGTTTAGAGAGGTTGATGTTAAAGCTCTACACTCACGATGTACAAAAAAAAAAAAAAATTAAACTGGAATTACTTCCTTTTTTAATTTATCATTGGCAACAGAAAATCTGAAATGTTGCTTTTCTATCAGAAGATAAAAATAATCATGTCATTATTAAAACGCTTAGATTGTGATTAAAGCCTCTCTCTCTCTCTCTCTCTCTTTCTCCCTCTCTCCATGGAAACTGACTGTAGGTATATTTTACAGCCTGTTGAAGCAGCTCAGGAGGGTTTCCTACTTCACGTCTGCCTCTCCTTTCACACCCATACTCTATTGGTCTGCACGAACAACACATATAGTGTCGGCGCCGAGGCCAGCTCTAAAAGTAATTGGTTTCATTGGAAAGTGGATAAATAGCAGCGGCTGGTTGTGGAGGGCGTCCTGCAGAGTTTGACCGCTCCTGGGTTAATCACAGAGCGTCTGAGGCTGGAAGCTGTCCCAGTCGGCTCTGGCCACCAGCCATGGAGAGCTGCGAGTCACTGCAGGGCCGGCCGGCTGCAGGGGCTTCAGCTGCAGGGAGACAGCAGAGACAGGAAATGAGTGTTATTCCTCTTGTTACTTTGACACCATCATTTTTACATGGATATGTCACGTCACTGTTTCCACTTGAGTTTTCAAGATTACAGTTTTGTACTACAGTTGTACCACTACACTTCAATCCAAAGTCCATTTTAAAATGTCAAACCTTGATGATGTTTAGATATAAACAAAAAGAACAATGATAACAAATCAAGCTAACATGACAGTCAGTTAAAATAATCACTCTCTGTGTCTTAGTTTGTCCAAGAGAAACAAAAGTGTCAAAGGCTCGAACTTTCTCTAAGTTCAGATAAGACTTGGAAATGTCTTTGATTTAAGATTCTGTGAGCTCATCGGGACAAATATGAAAACATCTTACAGACATGAGCCTGTTTGTAGAGGCTGACATGTGAAACAAGAACCGCAGTAAATCGTATAGACAGGCGAACAAATAAGAAGAAATGAGAAGGTTTGTGATTCTCAACCCCACAGTGCCATACTGCATACACTCATCTATGTATGCTAACCCCAGTGCAATAGTATGTGAAAACATGTCTGTATATGCAAACTTGGTGCAACAGGGCTATGTGCAATTTACATCATAACAAAATCATGTTCAATACTCCAGCACTTTTGCACTTTTGCACTTTCATACTCGCAACACTTTTGCACTTTCATACTGCGTCACTTTTGCACTTCCATACTCGCAGCACTTTTGCACTTATGCACTTTCATACTCTGACACTTTTGCACTTCCATACTCGCAACACTTTTGCACTTTCATACTCCAACACTTTTGCACTTCCACACTCCAGCATTTTTGCACTTCGGCACTTTCATACCCTTAACACTTTTGCACTTCCATACTCGCAGCACTTTGGCACTTTCATACTCGCATCACTTTTGCACTTCCATACTCGCAGCACTTTGGCACTTTCATACTCGCAACACTTTTGCACTTTCATACTCCAGCATTTTTGCACTTTTGCACTTTCATACTCGCAACACTTTTGCACTTTCATACTGCGTCACTTTTGCACTTCCATACTCGCAGCACTTTTGCACTTTCATACTCGCAGCACTTTTGCACTTCCATACTCGCAACACTTTTGCACTTTCATACTCCAACACTTTTGCACTTCCACACTCCAGCATTTTTGCACTTCTGCACTTTCATACCCTCAACACTTTTGCACTTCCATACTCGCATCACTTTTGCACTTCCATACTCTCAGCACTTTGGCACTTTCATACTCGCAGCACTTTTGCACTATTGCACTTCCATACTCGCAACACTTTTGCACTTTCATACTCCAACACTTTTGCACTTTCATACTCGCAGCCCTTTTGCACTATTGCACTTCCATACTTGCAACACTTTGGCACTTTCATACTCGCAGCACTTTTGCACTATTGCACTTCCATACTTGCAGCACTTTTGCACTTTCATACTGCATCACTTTTGCACTTCCATACTCGCAGCACTTTTGCACTTTCATACTGCATCACTTTGGCACTTTTATACTCGCAGCACTTTTGCACTTTCATGCTCTGACACTTTACCTCCCGTAGCAGCACTTTAAACACTATTCATTTTGAAGGTCACTTCTTCCTGGTATGTTTTGACCAACATCGCACATCAGAGACTTTTTATGCTCGTGTCTCTGTCAGCTAATTTACAGTTTGTGTTGTTGTTTGTTTTTGTTTGTCATTGTGCTTTTATGTCAATTTGTTTACGACATGTGAACCACCAACCTGCCAAGGGACTACAGATAGAAATTAGCCAATGGCTACAATCTGACATATGTACACATTTATGTTCACTAATATGCAATGTCCCTATTTTGAATTAATTCAAATAAAATAAATAAATCATGACTTCATGTTCATCATGAGTCTGGTTCTTGTCGAGGTTTCTGCCTCTTAAAGAAAGTTTTTCTTTGCCACTGTAACTTTGCTGATTGTTGCTTAGTGCCGTGCTCATGTTGGATTAATGTTGGGTCTTTGTAAATAATATACCATCATTGACATAAAGATTGATTAACTGATTGTTTGGTTTGAGTAAACCTATATGTTTTGATGTTTTAGTTAAAAATATTGGAAACATGTCAATATATTTGTTTAGCAGTAACAAGTCATTCATGTAAACCTGTTTGAAGCCATGTAGATTATTGATGCATGATATCAAAATCTAATTAATCGACAAATCATTTGATTTAAAATAATATCCGGTGGACTCCTTCTCTCAGGCAGGATCCAAAGACACAACTGGAGCACACAGATCTCTAACGTTTTGGTTGGTCCTGCCTGAGAGAGAAGTCCACAGAATTATATTTTGAATGTTTCAGGTCCTTCTCATGAGTTCACAGACCTCCATTTGTTGAACAGCTGAAACAGCTGAAAGAGTTTCCTTTTGAATCATGTAATTTGTTTGAAATCATATTCTATGGTTATAAAGTGTGGGGGCATGATAACACTACGACAGCTTTATGATGTTTTCCTGTTTGACATTTTTATATGACACGTTTTATTCACTGTCATAGATTAAGTTCATACAAATGTACTGGGTAAACTTGATTCCACTGTGTTGTGCATAAATGTGTCCAGTTCTCCCTATTGTGTTTTATATATTTCATTCATTCATTCAAAAGGGACACGTAATGAGTGTTACTTCAAATATAAAATATAAAGAAGATGCCATGCATACATGTGTTTTTGTGCAACCCCTGTCCTATTTCTCATGTTTTTTTAGGCTTTTGATGAGTGCATGCAGTTCCACATGAGCTCATGTTGAGCGGTCTTTGTAGATGAGTTATTTAGAAATCAAAGATTGAAATGTCCGTCACAAAGAGCATTAGTTTAGTTTAGGTTTATTTCTGACTTTCTTTTTTTTTTCAGGACAAAAGTTATGTTTTCTTTAATTTATACACTTCATGTTTGTTTGCATTGCTCTTTTTAACTTTGATGATGATTTAGTAGACCCACATCAACCCCTCCTGTTTCAGCATTTAAACTTGTTTCTTGTCAGTTTTATTTAAATCTTCAATAAACTACCTTTTTTAACTATTCAGTAAAACAAACCAGACTTTCAGACAGTTTTCAGCTTGAAGAAAGTGACAGCGCGGATAACCGCTTAGAAAAAGGGAGTTTATTTTGAAGGAACTAAAGAAGTTTTTTACGCTTGACAAACATAAGCTGCTATTTCAGCTCCATAAACTGGGCACTATGTGTATGGGAGGGGGGGTGGGGGGGGCTTTTGTTTTTGATTGATTTGACGCCCGCATAATGCTGACTTTCTCCATGCCATCGGCTGACTGAAACGGCCTTTTTGTGCCACTTGACTCCCTCACACTCACACAGCTGCATTTGTCTTGCAAATCCATCCCCGCTGTGCCGCGTTCAGACGAGGAAAAGAGAGCAGTCGGACATCAGTGAAGTTCAAGCCAGCGAACAAGCGGAGAGGCTGTTTCATAGCAGCCGCTTTTGTCGATATCAGAAGGGAGAGCTGGTGAAAAATGATGCATGCTTTTACACCTCTGAATCCTGGCAACTGACAGAGCAAGGGATGGGAGAGCATGGGGGTGGAGGGGTGGAGGGGGTCAAATACTAAAAAAAAAAGAAAAAACTTTTCCCTGGAGGCTGAAGTCAGTGCTCGAGTCGAACAAAGAGCCCCGGTCTGAACGGGTTGAGTGTCCTCTTGCGCACGACGGGGATCAGCAGCGCAGAGTGGAGGAGATGGATGGAGACGCACACGTACAAAACGGCCGTGACAAAAAAATTAGCATATTTGTAATTTATCACTTTTTCTCGAGTTATTCAAAGTTTTATAGAAAAAGAAGAAAATGGATCATTTGTCACTGCGCTACGAGCAAAGATAAAGCTTCCAGACAGAAAAACTCTGCATGAAGTAAAAGCCTGAGATCACTTCTGTTCCGCTCACTTCTTCAACAAGTGCTCATTTTTACTATTTTCACATTCATTACTTTATTTAACGGGTTTTGTCTTCTGCCTTTAAAATCCGCTCGGGGATCATCTCAGTCTGCTTCATTTCCATATCTTTTCAAGGCAGCGTCCTCGTGAATAGATTGTAATATTTCATGACGGGGCACGCAAAAGCTGTGCACAATGCCTCTCATATCCACTCCGCTTTCAGCCGCAACAAAGATCATAGCGAGACGTCTTTATGGCTAATTCAGTCAAAGGAGCATCTCCCGTCCTCTGGCGCGGAGGTCAGCCCGCCGTGTTTCGTCCACCAGGGGGGTTCTTCAGGGGCCAACTGGCTCACACACACACACACACACACACACACACACACACACACACACACACACACACACACACACACACACACACACACACACACACACACACACACACACACTTATTATATTTCATTTCTATAGAGCAGAAGGCAGGGTTTTTTTTCGATCCTGTTTTCAGGAAGAGCAGAAGGACACATGTCCAAACCTCATCAAACGTTTTATCCAGTTAAATAATTGATAAGCCTGATTTTATTTCTATGTAGACTTTGGCAGAATGTGGTATTGATTTTGTGAAACAGTTTCATTTATGACCAAATATTAAAACAGTATATATTTTATATATATATATTACTGCCCATCTCTTTTATTTTGATATTAAAATGGTAAAATAAGTTCAGCTAATCTCCCAGTTGATCTGCCACGCAGAGTGTGTGCAGTTTATGTACAGCTTCCCTGCAGTATGTCTTGTCCTTCCTTTCCTTCTTTTGTTGCATTTTTCCTCTGTTCGATGAATACCTCTAAAGGACCAGAGTGGAGTTAATCTCGACAAATCCTTCTTAATAACTCTTAGTAGAGCTGTTGTGAACATTATCTTATCCAATTTACGTTCAATGAATCCTCGCTGAATGTGACATCGGACCGAGTTTAACGATTACTGATGGCTGTAATAGATGAAACGTCAGAAATCGGGCTCTCCATCATTCCGACCTGTCACTTCATATAATAAACTCGATCAGCTGATCTGCTGGTCCTGTTTGTGTATGCTGCACGTCACTTGTCTTTGGGGCTCTCGTGGTGGAAGAGAAAGATGCAGCCAACTGTTGACTGGAAGTCCTGACGCGCAGCTGACGCAGATTTACGCACAAGGCAAAACTCGAAATACGCCTTCAGCTTTACGCACGAACGAACTGCAGCCGAAATCAGACTAAATGCAGACGATTTCTTTTTTTTATTGGACGTTTCGAGGTTGAATTTGAATGTTACTCATTCTAACACATCATCTCTCATGGAAACTCACATTTCACCTGTATGCTACACCAAACATCCTTATGGCATTATCTTGATAAGTGTGTATAAAAAATAAAATGTTGCAGGGTGAGATTTTGGTGTCACTGAACTCATCTCAGTCACGCATTCAAATAGACTTTCTGTGAACTCCATGCAGACTAACTTCAGTCTCAGTCTCTTCGTGCGTTTTCATGGATATACATGTGCCAAAAAAACAGTCTGTTGGAACGATTCCAAGGTGGCACGCGTTCCCTTTCGCTCAAAATTATAAGAGGTGTTTACGTTTCTTAAAAATCTAACGTAGCTTATGCCTTGAATAAATCCTCCACTAATGATCTATCCTTTGATTATTTTCTCTTGTCATTCTTGATTCTCTCCATTGAGAAAGCTGCTCGTGCGCGCCGGAGCCACTTGTTGCCGGCGCATAAAGTTGGAGCTTTTTGAGAAGTTAAATATCCCGGAAAGAACACAAGTTAGTATCTGGAGGGCTTGACGGGGACAAAAGACCAGCGCCTTAGCACCATATGCTTAATGGTTACAGTCGTCCAGCCTTTATTAAAGGCAAAAAGTGGCCCTTTAAAAGTTGGAAAGGCTCTTTTATTTGAATTAGATGGAGCACTTGCGCACAAAACCAGAAGCGCGCATTGCCATTGACTCGCCCCCTTTTCTCTTTCTTTCAGGAGTCTGAAGCGGCCACCGTCATCGCCCGTTTCACTCCAACATAAGCTTTTCATCACCCGGCTTTGTTCGTGGTGAAAGTAATGCTGCGAATCAAAGACATGACAATATTTTCCATCAGCTTGGAGACCCTGGACAAGAGCCCTCGAGCTTTGGCAAAAATCTGGGCCGGTTATTCATCCTGTCACTCCGCACCTGTGGTCCCGCATTCAAAGTATACAAACTTGTCCCTATTAACATTCATTATTCACAAACAACACAAAGGCTGAAATAGAGCAGGTTGAAGTCTGTTTATGGCTCCTAAATGTTTTATTCCTCTGAAGATGTGCCCAAAGCTCTTTTCTCTTCCTCGCTCACCACCGAGTGCCCGTCTCTCTTTCAGCCTTGAGTAGCCCTACATTTGGATGTCACAATCGCAGCATCTGCCAAATCTTGCGGATGAAAATATGAAACAAAACGTAGCTACAAGAGGATTTGTTAAATCCTGATAATGAGTGATCAGCGTGGGGGAACAATGGCGCAGGATGGTGAGAGCCTTATGGTTCCGGGGGCAGCAGGGACAGTTTGCTCTCTTGTGGAGAAAGCGCCAGGTGATGGCAAGAAAATCGCCTTTTCCGAGGAAAAGGACACATCAAACCCACCTCCTTTCTCCCCTTGAAAAAAAAAACACAAGACATAAATTTAATTGGCTTATCAAGGCGCGGCGAAAAGAGCTCGCTGTTAATTGGCTGGAGGCGCACAAAACAAACGCAGAGACACGTTTAGCCTGGCTGGCCCGCGCTGCGCTTTCAGTGTCACATCATTGAAAATGTGTTTTATTATTGCAAAACGTCATGCTTTACAGTTGCCATATTGTGTCCTGGACAAAGGCTGATAGGACATTAAAGACCGAGAACACGGTGCCAACCCGTCTCGAAGACACTGCGAGGGCCTCTCTCTTTGCTTGCTTTTAGGCAGCTGCTGTCCAGGGCGCAAGGACATGAAAAGAGACAAAGTTTGAACTACCAGGTGCATCCCCGGAGATCACGAAGGAGACCGATCCACCCCGGAACAAGGAGCCGCTCATAAAGATGTAATTTAGGCTGGAAGGTCACGTCTGAAAGGAAAGAGCGCATGTCTACCTCCCCTCCCTGCCGCACACCTCCTCCCGCCTCCCCCTCTGTCACTATGAGCTCTGCAGCAGACACCTGTTGGTTACCAGCGGCTCACACAGTAAAACAAATTATGGAGCTGAGATCTCATCTGACCGTAAAAACCCGACAGTCACATGTGATAAAAATGACTCCGTGGGCTTTTTTTGGGGGGCACATCAAGCCGCTTTGGAGCTGAACTTTGGCGTCTCCCCCGGCGCGCTAACATGCGGGCTTAGAGCGGATTTACCGCATTAGAGACGAATCAACCTCTTCTTCTCGTCGCGTTAAGCTGTTTAACTTAAGCCTCACACTTTCACTGCTCATTCTTTTCATTACAACGTAGCGTTTCCCCTCTGTGTCGTTTAGCACTTGTTGATTTGTTCCAGCCATGGATGAATCAGACAAACATGCTCACTGGTGCGTAAAAGTGCCATTCTCTCCATCTTCCGTTTATGAAGACATCACAAGTCCTTCATCAAAACGACAAGATTGCCAAAAAATACATGACACATGTCTCTGTGACAGCAGGAAAATGACTCTTTGATATATTTTCTGGTTTTGTTCACATTTAAAGCCACGGATCTCCTCCACGATGAGTCCGGAGCGACAATTTAAATCTAACTTCAAATCGTTCCTGTTCATACCAACGATTGAAACCATTACAACTTCTTCTTTTTTGGATTTGGGCGATTTGATTTAAGAGTTGAAGTTTCATCATTCATTAAAAGATCAAAGAAAACAGCAATCTGGTGCAAGAATTTGATGATGGTTTATTTCATAATAACGGAATCTGGTAAATGAAAAATGAAATAAGTGGAAGCTAATTAACAGAATTTGCATCTCTGTTATTTAAAGTATTTAGACTTCTTATAAAGAAAACAAATGAAGACAAAAATAAAAAATAAATATATATATTATCCACATCACTGTGTCACCGTGTCTCAGTTTGTAAAAAAGTGTGAAATTTGCCAAAATGTCAAAAGTAAATAATGAGTTTAACGAATTATTAAACTGGCTGATTAATAAACACACTCACTTGAATGTAAGACTTACAAAATAAAATATCTGAACTGTTTCTTTTTTACTTTCTGAGATTTGTCAGAATATAATTCAGTCAATCTACAGTGATCCATTTTATCCCCTCTCGTTATTCCAATTGATTTCAGTAATCTTTCATCACATTATACATTCATCAGAGCTGGGTGTCGGTGCACCCGGTGTACCCGGACAGCATACTGTAGGTGGTAAAGCGCGCTGTGTATCTGTGAATCAGCGGCCTGTGAGCCTTTTCAACCAAATGAAGCTTGGCGTGGTCCTCCAATGTCCAGGCCCTGTGAGCTCCAAAGAGAATAAAACCTGTCTGACAGTAAAAATGGCCGTGTTTCTTTTAAGCCCTGCCAAGACCGTATAGCCGGAGTGACAAGATAGCCGGAGTGTTTTAGCGCATCTATTCCGCTCGGCTGCGGCCGCACCAAAGCGCTCTGCACTGCGCACTAAAAACCATCAAGTGCACAAAGAAACCACAAAGCTACCAGTGTTTTAACCAGAGCCCTGCAGCGTAATCAGAGTGGAACCGGCCCAGCATTGACTCGCCAACATTTGACTTTCTAATGGCTGTAATGGAATTACATGGTGCTGTCGCGTCGGTAATGAGGAGCGGACGGACTCAGTCACAGAGTCTGCAGCCCTCTCAACTATCAAATCATTGAGGTTCAAAAGCAGAAATATTCGGCCTCCAAGAAATAAACTTATTTTCCTAAAAATTAGAAAACACGAGAATCGCTGAAAAAAATAAGAATCAAAATTGATAGAAATATTATAAAACCCACCTACGATGCTTGAGGTTTTAATAATCCATATTTTTATAATCCTAATCCGGCTTTCCCCCTCTGCTTTGCATGTCGCCTCCGCCATGTGTTTGCAGCTTTCGGGCCCACATGGTTCATATATGCGGCGGCGGAGTGTCGGTGGAGAGGGGGCGGCCGCAGAGGAGGCCGTGGGGGGACACATGTTGGAGGAATGCCGCTACCACGGGAAAATCTGTCCCGGCAGCACCTGGCAACACAGAGCCGCATTCAACAGCCTCTCACCATGCTGCTCCAAACACCTTCAGCTGTTGTGGGTAAACTGTGTCCGCTCGTTTGCATAACATTAGCATATTTATGTCACATTATTAGTGTGTATTAGTTTAGGTTAACTGTCCTCCTTTGATTGTGACTCACGAGAGTTAAGATCTCACGTAGTGTACGTCACATGTTAATATCATGTGAGAATGAAGCTTCATGACATGCTTCATGTGTGCACCTGCTGACACACATGAGCTATAAACGGACAGTGAGTAAATAAAGATCATAGAATGTGCATGGAGCATGATCACAAAAACTATGAAGATCATTTGTGCAGCTCATTTTTATTTTATATTTATTTTTATTTTTTATTATAGATTAAAACGGTTTTATAGAATATAAGACTGACTGTTTTTTTTCAATGGGAAGTTGAGTTTAAAATCTTGAATTATGCAAGACCTGATGCAGGGCATTTGAAATGCTCTGCTGATTTTATTATGAGAAAAAGTGTTAATAAAGAGAAGAAGAAAACATGTCTGACATTGATTGGAAGTGTTTATGTGTCGTTTATTTGGACTGTTGCCGATTTGCCTCTGGTGATCACCCTCTAAGAGTGCATTATAATAATAATAATAATAATAATAATAATAATAATAATAATAATAATAATAATATCATGTCGTATCATGTCATATAAATGTTTCCTTTTTAGTTTGGAAAATGTTGCTTTATCGTGTTTGTGCGGATCTGCTTGTATCATTTGATTTGAGATCAGTTTACAGTCAGTGAACTTGTGTCTCAGTTTCAAAGATCATGAATAAACCTCTCAGGGGAAATACTCCGCTGAGTTTTATTTTTCATTTTTGATCAAATAACAACAGTGACACGAAACGATAATTTTTCATCAGTAAGTGCTTTTTTTTATTTGCAGTGAGTATAAATATAAAATGTTGCACGACAATATAGATTTCGTAATCATTAAATTAAAACATATATTATCACTCGTAGAAAAAAATAAATACACGATTGCCATTTGCCTGAATTACAAAAAATAAAATTATCAACGTGATAAAACTATTTACAACATTGAATTCAACATTGGAAACTGTACAGTCAGCTCACATGGTGTCCTCACTGTGACGATGCGCCTCAGTGCGCATTAACACACACACACTAAGACACACTAACATAACCCGCTTCATTATCGACACATTCATTATGTGCGTTTAACAACAAGAGTCTTTTCATTTTAAGCCACCAGGCCGAAAGGAGGCTCGTTTTCGATGTCTGTCAGGCCCGGCTTGTTGTGCAGTTTTCGGGGGTCCTCCGGTGTCCAGACTTTGGCGGTGCGGATGATGTTCTGCTCCCGGAGTTGCTTTTCATCCGACCAGGACAGCGAGTGACCGGCCAGGGGAGGTAGGCCATAGTCAGGGTCACTAGGAGAAGGAGATCCTGCAACAAAAAAAAAACCGAAGAAGAATAAGTTTAATAACAGTTCTTTATATAAACATCATGCAGATTAAATAAATCCAAATAATGCATGCGTAAAATCTGTGGATGAGAGATTCTTGGAGAGACGGAGGAATAATCTAGAAATGGACCTACTTGTTCCTCTGTGACAGATGATGACCTTCTTGGGCTGCGCCTGCGCCTCGCTGCTGGAGTTTCTAATGGGTACATCAGACTGCACGAGTTCTGCGAGGAAGTTGATGTATCCAATGGCGAGCCGCAGGGTGTCCACCTTGGAGAGCCTCTTCTCGTAGGGCAGGGTGGGGATGTGCGAGCGGAGCCCCTCGAACGCGTCATTGATGGACTGCATCCTCCGCCGCTCCCGCACGTTGGCCGCCTGCCTCAGCTGCTGCATCTCCATATCTGACCTCATCCTCCTCCTCCGCTTCATCATACTCATCGGCCCGCCGTGGTGAGGGGACAGCTCCGAGGTGCTGTCTGCGCAGCCGTACGAGAAGGTGGAGGACGACGAGGAGAAGGACAGGTTCCCGATGTCATAGTCTTCTGCGTCGTGAGGCGCTGCTCTGCCGCTGCCCTCTTTGCCGTAGTAGTCCTGGAAGTGGCTCGTGAGGAAGTCCACGTCGTCATCCAGAAAGTCGTCAGTGTCGAAGTGGCCGTCCCTCGACGAATGGTCGGTGAAGAACTCGTCATCGTCGAAGTAAGGAGGGGAGGAGAAAGAGTCCAGTCCGGAGAACGGGTCCAGCACGCTGTCCATCCTTGCCTCTGCTTTTTCCTTCTATTGTTAAGTTGGTAACAATGATTCTTCTTCTTCTTTTATTGACTCTGTGTTCACTCTCCACAGCACAACAAGTTAGTTTTAGTTCAACCGGCACGCGAGGCTTCTTTATAGCGACATCCATAGTCGCGTGCCGTTTGCTTAGAAGCGCCAACCAATCACAGCTCGGTCCGCGAGGCGCATCTCGAGATAAGCCCCTAGAAAGACACGCCCCCCCACCCCCCTCCTGCCCCCCCCAACTAACATCTCAACTCTGCCCTGACACCGGCTGCTCGGCTGCATCACAGCGCGTTTAGAAAACAGGTTCTTTTATAGTTTGTCATAAATCTAAAATATTGTCTCCCACAGGTCTGACCTCAAAGAATACCACTCTCTCCCTTGACCACCGCCATAACCCTCCCCCTTTTTTCCTACTGAATATGACAACAATACACCAATAAAGGATCAATAAATAAATATTTTCCACCTGATATTTCCCGTTTGCTTTCAGATTAAAACGATGTCTTCACCAAGAAAGTGCTGAGCTGAACACTAATAAAACATGAAGCATTTAAGAGCACAGCTTCTCCTCACAGGTGGTTGCCGGGGTCAAATATTGCACGGCTTGTTGTTGAAATCTTTAAGAAACTGTGCAGCAGCGGGTTGCATAAATCGAGTTTTCCTTAACGATCAGAACACAAGTTATGTCCATGAATGGTCATTGAATGCTTATGCTGCTGAAGTTGTATTAAATGGACTTCATGCTCTTTGGGATGTTGCATACAACATCAAAAGAAGCACATATCAGAAATATCTTTTTTTTTGGGAACTGAAGGCCAAAAACTGATGCAAGACACTGCAATGACGTTTTTCTTACGTTTTATGGTTTTATACGTTTTATTGACGCTTCTTGATGACAAATCAATTATATGGAAACATGAATGACTCAAGAACATTTTTGAGATTACAAATGCTTTTGATGTGTGGCTTTCCGCAGTGGATTCAGTTAGAAATGTTGAGGGGAAAGACAAGAGTGTCCCTGTGAGTGGCTGGAGGCTCGCAGTCCGCCTGCTGGTCTGCACAGAAGCCCCTCAGCTCGCTCATTTATTTAGCGGTAAGTGGGCAGCGCTGCTCCATAAAGAGCTGCACCAGTTAGAGTGGCCGATGCACCACTTGTGCCAGCCAGTGTGTGTTTTTATTGGGAGAACTGGTTGACAAATAAAAGCACAGTGGTGGGCCTCGGAGCGCACGCCTCTCTGACACCTCATATTAGCGCTCCCCGGTGTACCGACAGAGACTGCCCACCGGTCTGGACTCTGTAAGTACGCATCTATTCAGAGCATTCAGTGAAAGGACTCACTTTGTTCTGGAGACAAAGTGGACCCTTTTTTTTTTTTTTTGCAGGAGCTGCCTCGGTGCGCGGTTAGTGGTGGTGCGACAGTAAAGCTGCATCGCGGGGCCGTGGCCGTGGGAAGAAGGCCACTTGCGTCCTCATCGCCAGTCAAAAGCAACATGTCGGGTTATAAATGAGGCTCGCGCTGCTGTCAACATAATGAAGCTGTCGCTGGGAACCCGCGTGCATTAACAAAGACACAATACACGCAACATCCCGGTACCAACCAGGTGCTGAACACAACACCAACCGCTGACAGGACCCTGCAGAACTGTGCATCAGACCCCGAGCTGCAAACACCTTCAAGATAAATACAGAGAAACATTCTCTGCAGCTGCATGCTTCTCCTCGCTGCAGACATGAAATAATGTCACTGGTTGTTTCTCTAATCTAAAAAAGAGCCGCACTGTTTATTTTAACACAGTGACGTAGACTCAGAGGTCAGTTATTTATTAGCTATCCAATAATCCCGAGCCAGTCTAGGATAACAAGTTTGATGTTTATTTTTTCAGTGACTTTTAGGAGCTGACCTTTAATTATTTTTTTTTAAGATACATGTATAGCTCGCTTTAGGGTAAAATGTCAAACAGAACAAAAATGTCACTGTGACAGGTGTGATCTCTGAATGTCCTAAATGGATGTTTTGTAATCGTCTGTTGTCGCTGTGGGCCAACGCTGAGCCACAGGTTCATTGTGTGGAATCAGAATATGGCTTATCATTAAGGAGTGGGCCTTTTTGTTTTAAAGCTGGGTAATGAAAGAAAAATCAAAGTCATCAGAAGAAATATGTAAACACACTTGCTATGATGAAATAAACAAAAACGAGTTCACCACATCTGTTTATGAATTATAATACAAATTAAGATTTAAATGTCGCTGTATCTGGCTCATATTGTCCTATATCTCAAACTAACAATGATTAAATTATTTCATTTTAAATGTCTTCTCTTTTACGCATGCAGACACTGTTTAAAAAAAAGACTTTAGGCCTATATGTACTCTTCATGCATACACACATGGGGGGAAAAACTTAAGTAGAACTTGTGTTAACTCTAAACTAAATGCGTAAATGTCTCCCTGAATGTTTTGTTTCTTTAGAGGACTTTAGTGGAGCTCTTCAGGGTCAAACAGTGCGCGTCCACAGGCTGCACCAACATGTCAGAAAAGTGTGTGTCCCACCCTGGTCCCACCCCTCCCTTTGCTGAAAACCAGATGATAATTCGAACCGTGCAGGTTTTTAACGCGCCGTGACCGCGCGCTCCACGCAGTCTCATTGATGAACGTGCTGTCTCTCTGAACGGAGCGACCTGCGCGAGCGGAGCAAGTGTTTCTGTTCCCATGCTGCCCCTCGGTCTGCAGCATGCAGCAGGCTGGACGGTGCATTAACACCGGCCTCACCGGTCATGGTGCACACCAGCGGGGGTGATGGAGGAGGGTGTAGAGGTGGGGGCGCGCGCACACACACACACACACACACACACACACACACACACACACACACACACACACACACACACACACACACACACATATAGTCGTTTGTTCCTAAATAAAAGAAACACACCAAAAAAGCAAACAGGTGTTTCATAAATTAGTGGAGGTGATAGAATTATTTGTAATTAATTAAAGTTGGTCCTTGTGACGTCATCAGTAAAAACGGACCGATTATTTAGTTATCACCCAAGTGATTAAAGTCTCAAAAGTTTCATTTAAAAGGTTTTATTGTAAAACAGATTATCCTACAACCTGTAATAACCATTAATGATCTAAATATAAATAAATGAATAAATTAAATGGCTGGGCTTCATTTAATCTAAATACAGGATCATTGTTTATTTTAAATGAAGACAAAAATAATTAAAATGCAAAGAGCTTATTTCGACTTTCAATCTCTTAAAGTAGCCTAACATTTCTTTATTTACATCACATACATGAGCACACTATCAAAATAAGAATTTGTATCAAATCACTGTTTATACTCCTTACATTAAAAAACACATTCAATTAAAGAACATGTGAATTTGAATAATTGTAATGAATCATTTATTATTTGACACTTTATATTTCACACAAATTGAATATTAGAGACAAGATTATACTTTATTGAACCCCAGTGCGGAAATTCGGGTTGCAGCAGCAAGACAGAGAATAAGAGAAAATTCACAAAATACGTATAAAATAAATACAAATAATAATAATAATAGGAGGTATATACAGAGAATATGAATAGTGAGGTGAACTATACAGGACAATTAAGAGTTATGTGCACTGAATGGCAAGTTAAATATGACCAGTGATGATTAAAAATGACTTTTGTGATCAAAGTTTTGAGTTATATAAACAGCAGTATGATGTGCAATACTCTAGTCTAATATATAGAATAGAATAATGACATATGATAATGATCTAATATAATATAATAATATTATATAACATACAGTAGATATCAATCATAAATAATATTAATAAAGTGGTCTGGCATTCATTTGGCCAAAACAGACAAATTCAAATAAATCATTTCTGTTTGTGATTCTCATAAAGCCTCCATTAAAGTTTCCTTATCCACCATAAGTTTCACACACAGAAACAAACATTTGTTTTCCTGATCCTCTTTATGTCTCTTTTCAGCTGCCACAGAGCCCACGAGCACCTCGGCCGTCACAACGTGGAAAAGGAAATCCAGAAAGTGAACTAAAGCAGACAAATGTTTGGATTTAGAGCCGCAGCTAATCCTCCTCACTGGGATTCATAATCCCTTTAATCTCTGGCTACAGCGGATTACCCATCTAGATTACTCCGACTAATTAAAGGGATTTCAGGAGAAGTAATTGAACTACTTGATTTGATGCATCGTGTTGTCCTGTTGGTCACTTGAAAGTATTTGTGTGACTTTTTGATGTTATACGTTAAGTTTGAATTCATCCATCATCAAGGTCAGTCGTGACAAATGTGACGTCATTATGAGTCCTTTAGACATCCAATCAGAAGTGGTGACAGCAAAGATAAGAAATCAAAGCAACATATACATTTTTATCAAGAAGCAATATGACATAGAGGAATCATCTGTCACCGGTCAGAGTTCAAACTCTTGATAACAGTAATTAATTTTCCACTAATGAATATTTGACCAACAATCAATACATTCAGTTACCATCGACTTCTATCCAAAATCTAACACAAAAATCTAAAATGACAAGACCTCAACTTGTTGGGATTTTGACTTGTTGCATTTCTATTTTCAGGAATTGCATTTCAGATGTACAGAAGCCCTGAGTAAATAAGTCAAGTTTATTCATATAGCACCTTTCAAGAGCAGACGTCACCATAAATGATTAATAAAAAATAAAAATAAAAATTTCTGGAGATCTGAACCGATTCTTCTCTTTACTGTGGGATAGAAAAGTTGGTTTTCCCGAGATAACCGCATAATTTCTCAAGATTAAATTTAGGAAAGAACAGAGTTTTAATTTAGTGATGCAATGTCCACACAGGGCTTCCGTACAGATGCATCAAGTCGTAAATTTATCAGCGTTTATCAAGTCATAAAACTACGAGAATAAATTCAGACATTTACAAGAGTGAAGTCGTAACTTTAAAAGAGTGAAGTTGTATTTTTACTAGAATAAAGTCATAAATCTATAAATTAGTAAAATTTAAAAGAATAAAGTCATACATTTATGAGAATAATTTG